ATGCATGCATGGAAATTCGATCCACTGTTCTCGCCCTTTTACCACGACACCGGTTTTATCATGGCCGCTGTTGGCGATGAAGCCTACCAGCGTTGTCTAGAGTATGCCAAAGGCGAGAAAGTATTCCCAGCAGCCCTGAATACGAAACATGATTTCCAGCAAACAATGCCAGGAGGGTTGCTACAGGGCGACTTTCCAGGTTGGAGGGGCTTCTGGAAAAAGAAAGGCGCAGGGTGGGTGTTCGCTAGTGGAGCTCTAAGAGCTATGCATCAAGAAGCCGTGAGATTGGGTGTGGAATTCTTGACCGACAGCATAGAGGGCGGTGTCGAAGAGCTACTGTATAATTCGGACAATAGCGCAGTATCGGGGGTGAGGACGAGGAACGGCTCTGAGCACAAGGCTCAGCACATCATTGTATCCGCTGGTGCGAACAGTGACCTACTCTTAGACTTCGAGAGTCAGCTTCGACCCACAGCCTGGACACTTGCACATCTACCCCTCTCAGCCGAAGAAGCGAAGCGGTACCGGAACATACCTGTGCTGTATGGCGTGGATCGCGGTTTCTTCATCGAACCCGACACCGAGACACACGAAATAAAGCTCTGCGATGAACACCCGGGATACATCAATCCAGTCATCAACGACAGTGGCAAGATGCGCTCCGTTCCGTTTGCGCGACAACAGATTCCGAGAGAAGCAGAAGCACGTATGCGACTTCTTCTCTCTGACACAATGCCACAGTTTGCAACCCGAGACTTGAGCTTCGCGCGTTTATGCTGGGACGTAGATACTGTGGATCGCATCTTTCTCATCGACAAGCACCCTAATGTCCAAGGCTTGATTGTAGCGGTAGGAGGATCTGGAAACGGCTTCATGGCATGCCCTGCAATCGGCTCTCTGGTTGCAGACATAGTAGAGAACAATAGTGAAGGGAAGATGAGGGAAGCGATGCGTTGGCGACCAGAGATTTGCGCCGAGAGGGATTTGTGGGATGCGCAAGGGAGATATGGTGCTGAAGGCAAGGTTATGGATATCCGACAGGTAACAGAGTGGACAACGATGTGAGTCCAGCAGGCCTTTGCACGTCTCAGCTGCTCAAGTAGTTTTTTTCTAGACATGGGTTTCTCTATCATAGGCTTCTTGTCATCACTGATGCTGGTGTATAATCAAGAGAATGGCGGTGGAGGGCACGAGAACTACGCACTTTGATCTGGGGTAAAAACTGCTTGCTCGACCAAGCCTCTCGTGCACCGGTGGGTGTCCATCAGACCGTCTCGGGGGGAATTGGCGCCCAAAAATAGAGATTCCTACTGTGATTATGCATATTTCACATTGCTGTCATGGATGTTGCCTATCAAGCCGATGCTGGGAAATTGGTCAACTCGGTGCTGGATGGAATCATCAACATAGCCTCTAAACGTCATTGTGTGAAGTTTAATTACAGATGTGAGGCTGAAGGTTTCAGGCATCCTGCGGTAGAATTTCGCCGCTCGCATCTTAGGCATCCCGTCCCATCATCGGTAGTTATCACGGTGTACCCACCGCTACGGCTCAACTGCGACTCCCAGCATTGACATGCGTTCCCACGTGGGAAACATTCCTAGCGTCGTAGCCACTGTGGGGTCCGATGCTGGATGCTGGGGATTTTGTAGGTCGGCGATTATGGATCTGCAGGTCGGCGATTGAAGATTATGTCGGCGATTTGAGGCTGTGTTAACAAGCACTGCCACGTTTCACCCCTCGACATTCCTTCCGATTTCCAACGCCTTTCGAAAGAAGTGTTTGCTGTAAAGTCGCGATACCTAATAATAGATTTGGTAGGAATGAAGTTAACAGGTTGGTGTGAATGAGAGAAGCCGGCCCTCTTCGACAGTTAGATGAAGACTGGAGGCCCCACTAACCACACATCGTACAATGTCTTGGGTTCTGGCTAGAAATGGACTGATGCAGTATACAGATCCAGAGCTGCGATGTTGGGGCCGAATATGCTTCCTGGTAAGTACATTCGGCTTATGCCGCTGTCGAGTATGGGATGAAGGTTCCTAGGGCCGTTACACGCCATTCGGACGGGACGTTAGGTCTTGATGCTTGACATACTGGGATAGCCGGTAGTCTTGGTGGTCGCCTAGACGGTCCATACCGGTGCGGCATCAACAAACACCCCTGACACTTTATTCATCCAATCGTATGACATCCTCAGTATGGTTAGTCTCATTGCATGATCGGCTTCGGGCCGAGTCTTACAATGCTTGAACATGAGTTCTAGAAATGTTGATATGACTGTTGCATGACTCTTAAAAGAAAGTTGTCATGGAAAGCCTGAGCGCGGTTCAAATCCTTCGTTTGCGTGTATGCAGATCATCGCCTGTCACGGTGACTATTGCCAGCTAGTCTTCACATCGAAGGACAGCTTGTGCCGGGCTCCTCGAAACAGATGATGAATAGAGACTAGTGTTTGTCTGTCGACACGGTGCAGGCTTTTGTCGGCTGTATGTTAGATTTGCGATGACATTCTGTCCTTTGCAGAGCGGAATCAGCCTTGCCTTAGTGCCTGATGACCACCATTCGCACTGTCATTAACAGCATCGTTCGATTGATTGTCCATGGCCCCATCACTGCGACACACTGGCTTTGTTTAGCTTGAGATCAAGTGCGTTAGTGGACGCTGTCTATTTCTGAGCGACTGCGGATGAACTAGCGTGTGAGCTGTTGTTGGTCCATACAGGCAGTGCGGATGGTAGCTCCCGTGTTGGATATGTCACTGGACAGTGGAGCTATGGAGGCAACGACGGAATTGAGCGAAGATGAAGGTGACGAGAGTGTGCAGTGTGACGCAAGCCCCGATTCTTGACTGTCAGTCAATTTGCAGTGGTTGCTCGCCTGGCAGTCACCGATCGAGTACATGGTCAACGCTACCTACCGCAAGTGTTGTCTGGCACTCGACCGTTCTTCCGACTGGTAAGGAAGCGGAGGTGATTGTCAGCCATCCTGGGCCTTCACAGTGTTTGAAGAAGGCAGTGCGTAGGAATATACAGCCTCCAAATCGTCGCTCTCCATACACAGGTGTGTTGGCTTGAACATACGGTCCATATAGCGCAGTGTCTGAAGCGCCGGACAGCGCATGCTGACTGCTGCTCGCGATGCAGCCCGGGTACTGCCTGGGTATCCGTTATTACACGGGCGTTTTCCGTGCTGTGATGGGGCCGTCTGATGTTTGACATCCAGACCTCCTTGATCATCTGGGAAAAGCTTCTCCGATCCTGCTCCTCGACGTGTTGCCCAAGAGTCTTGATGCAGATCTCGGACGAAACAGTCTATGTCCGGCGGTCCGAAGGCAACGCGGTGTAGATACTTCATGGTCGCAAAACCCGATCAAGAAGAACCATGTACTAGTCTTTGCAAAGCAAGTTTAACCGCTTTGGAACAACGGGCGCTTCGAAGACTGTCGTTGGCTTTGGCCAGCATGTGGATCCGTCTTTCCATCTATCACGCTCGTTGGTCATGTTTCGTCCTTCGCTCTTTAGCCACGTCAAAGACAACAGGCTCACTGCATGCTACGCAGTGGAGCTAGGTGTCCAGGTCGAGAAACGCAATCAAACCGTTGCTGTCAGGAGCTGTCTTGGCAAACACGGCTCGCTTGTCTAGAGCGCGACGTTGGTGTTATTGGAGGGACAATGCTGGTGAAAGCTGTAGAATTGCTGGCAGACAGACCGCTTGAAACGTCGCTTACTCAGACCCTGCCCTATGATTCCTGATTGTATGTAGGTTGCTGTGCTCCAGGCGGCAGGGGTTAAAAATATCTCACGGCACCCGGCCCAAGAGTAGCGCGGGGCGTATAATCCCCATGCGCTACGCCCAAAATTTTTGCCGGCGTAAGCGACCACCCAAGGCCGCTTCTCGTCGCTTTGCTACCATGCTGCGATCGGCAGCCCATCATCTCCAACGCCATGGGGAGCGCTCATTTGCCCCTCATCTGTTACCGCCTCTGATGTTGGTCCGCAGCCCGTGGGACTAGTCTGAAGGGTGGCTGTCGTTGTGGTTGCGCCCTGCACACATCGCCCGGTCGCTCTGTACGTACCATCTCAGCCCAGACGAGACATCGCTGGAGGTTGCAGAGAACTCGGTAGCCGAAGCGCTGCTGGCCGTTTGCAAGGTATCGCATTAATCGCTCGAAGGATCGTTCACAGGCGAAAGCGAAATGGCAGAAGCTTTCCTGGGACTAACCCTAGTAGGCCACTCCTCAGACCAGCGCTAGAGCGGTGCGGTCGCCATGTTGGCGGTACCTTCACCCACAAGGATTAGCTAGCCGGCCCGCGAGGCTCACTCGCTCTCCACCGCAATTGTGAATGGATTATGCACCCGGTCTGAACTGGGACCATGAACTACGGACGGTATCTCATTGGGACGAGCGCAGCAAGCGTTAGTCAAATTACCCACGTCCCATTATGACCAGCAGCAGCGACTACTCCTCTATCGGATGTCTGACCCGACGTAGCTACCTATCCTCTTGGGCATTGCAAACTTCGTCTGCGCCCCGGATCTACATTGACCAGTCGATGCCACATGGTCCACCGCTCAGCGTTCGCAATTTCTAACTTGGTCCCTTTCAGGCCGTCCTCCAGGGCCCGGTGGAGTTTCAGGCACTGCAAGATATGACAACACCGCCACTGCCCGCTACGCTTTCTCGACAAATCTGACGCCCCAGCCTTACCGTTGTGGAGTGGTCCCTAGTGCGCTCCCGGGCTAATCCTGTACACCCCGGACTAGCAGCCTTACCATACCCTAATCCCTAGAGTTTGGGTCTGTGCCTTAAGACTGGTCATTCTCACCCATCTGTTGCACTTCCCGCTTAAGACGCACTGGCCTTCTCTCTGCATGATATACAACCCGTGTTGGCTTCGACTTGCGGCCACTTGACGACCACCAGATACCCCTTCCTGTTATATCACCACCATCCTGCGAACCACTCCAGAACAACACGACACCTGGCGTCACCCACGATGACTTTCTTTTCGTCCGAAGCAGAACTAGCACTCATGGCGCCGGTTGACGGCATGGGTCACCTCTACCCCTCTAGCACATGTCAATCACCCCCCAGCATCATGTACTCACCACCACTACACCACATGGCTCATCGACCCCAAACGACCATGTCCGCACACGCAGGAATGTACACTCCACCTCAAGATTACAGACCGGTCATGGAGTCCCCATACCCACCTCACGCACTCTGGTCGACACAACCATCATCAATACCGCTACCTCAAGTAACGTCGTATTCCTACCCATCTTTCTCCGAGATGGCATCTCCCCCGATGCTTGCGCATGACTCGACGTTGCTCTCACAATCTTTCGGTGCGTCTCGACCGTCAAGATCGCACTCCACATCGTCGTCCGTAGGTCATGGCATGCCGTCCAACGTCCCCTCTGAAAGATCACCACCCGCACTGTCACGGTCGCTCTCTCCTTCCTCGCCGGATCTTCGATCCTATGGTATCCCGAACAAGAATGGTACATGGAGCTGTGCTTTCCCAGGATGCACTTCAAGAGCAGTTTTCACCCGCGGCTGCGATCTCAGGAAGCACTATAAGAGGCATACAAAGTCCTTCTTCTGCCGCCATGGCGACTGCCCACAGTCTACAGGAGGAGGCTTTTCGAGTAAAAAGGATCTTGCGAGACATGAGGCCAAGCACAACCCGGGCGTGTTGTGTGACTGGGACGGATGCGACAGGGTCTTCAGTCGCGTGGACAATATGGTAAATTTGACATGCTTCACATGCGCAGAGTATTACTGACAATTTGCAGAGAGATCATGTCAAGCGGATTCATCTTAAAGCGTCCAGGAAATCTTCGACAACGTCCTCCTAGTTGTTGCGCTTCTGATACGACTACCGACTGTCACGTCCCACAAAACCATTGTTTCATCGCCTACGTCGTCCATACCTCTTACTTCGGTTCGAGTCATCGCCTTAAACCTTCGCTAGGAGCGTCTACGGCGAAAGACAGGAGATTTACTCGCCAAGAAAAGGTCACAGACCGTTAAGACCACAAACCCTTCACTTTCGTTCATGATACCCTTATTTTGCATTTGCATTTGCGTTCCCGTTCCTATTCATCTATCACTGCAGCATTTCCTGCGTCGTCGCATTGCTATGGCGTTTCTCAAAACTAGAGAAGTTTGAGCAGAGTCAATTGGCTCATCCAAGGAGGATACAGTACGGTTGGAACGCTTGTTGGGAATTGGTGTGCATAGATGCAGATGGCGCCGCTGTTGCCTACACTAGCTTGGAATGAGTGTCGGTCAATAGCGACAATGATTTCAACATTTGGCTCATACGATTCTTTGCAACTCTTCAATTTTTCGATTGTCTCTCTAAACACGACGTCATACATAAAGCCAACCCCCATTCTCGACAACATGGCTGGCGCGATCGAGTCTACCACAGGTTGTCACGCCAGATGTCGACATGGTCGGGGGTTAATGGTCTGCGACTCCGGCCTGCTAGTGGGAGGCCTTACGGCCTTAACAAGGCTGACTTGCGGTGCCGTCCACTCATGTGGGCCGGGACCCTGTGACAAGGTGGCTGGAATGTCTCTGCGAATCACCTCTGTGCACACTACTTAGGTACGCAGGGATGATTGGCGGGCGTTCTGCTCCGTCCAGCATAGGATCGAAATGCGAATATGGCATGTTCAGCGATCGAGAGCGATGGTCGCCCCACATCGGACCAAACGACGGCATGCCGCAAGCATTCCTGTTTCGCAGCCAGTTTCGAGGAAGATGTCACCCGATGACATGGCGGTGCTATGCGGCTGCACCCTATATTCGCGATGGTGGCTATCGTCATGGTTCAGCACCAAGCCAAGCTGTTTCAAGAGTCTGGTACATGCATGCTTCCAGTCAGACCTGCACGTCAATGGATCAATAAGACGCATTACGTTAGATGAAGGCTGTTGCTATAGCTTCCAATCACATTTCATCACATGCATTGGAAGGCAGGACGCCCAAGCGGTTCCATCCCGCGAGCTTACATACGGCAGAGGACCACATGCACGATGAGGTCGACCCCATCGCGGACGCCGAGCATCCATCGATCAAAAACTCATGGTGGTTGCTCGTGACAAAAGGTGCGTCACGCTTTGCTGCTTCTCGTGCCGCGCTAGTGCACAAACAACACGATGGAGCGACTAAGTCCAATAGATTCGACGTTACGGTAACGCTTGCATATCCTGTTATTGTCTGAACACATGCGAGCTTACGGCATATGTTCCGAGCGGCAATCCTGCGGCCCTGACATGGCGCCGTTTGATGCGGCCGTTCAGCAACCAACCACGCGATTTCCATGGCCGCGGCATGGCGACGGCATGGGAGACAAGGGTCCAAGTCACAAGCACTCTGTCGTTGCTCGGACAAATTGCGACCCGTGAAGTTGGATCTGCTCGACATGGTGCTGTTGCCAGGGGTTTAGCTGTGCCGCCACGAGGTGGCTGTCCCATCTCGACATGGAGCTTACCGTACTTGTCTCCTTGTCAAGGTGTCCAACTCAAGGTGATCGGGTTGGATGCTTTCCCCTGTTCCACCGGTCAAAATTGTGGACAGGGACGTGGACCACCAGTGGCTTAGCGTGCTCCACTCTTCTCCAGTAGCTTATCTTTCTGCTGGGAAGGGTCGATCTGGGTCGCGCTACAACGAACCCTCATTTCTTCCCTCTGCGCCCTTACACGGCCCCCACGATCCGTTCTAACCTCCTCGTTACGCGCATATAGCCCTGGACCTTTGCTTTCTAGTGCGCGTTTCATCAAGGTCCCGTCACAATTGCAAGGCGCACACCACATGCCTGCGATACCGTTGTTTTGAACAGCTCTCTGATGGCCTGCTCCTTTCCAGTCAACAGGTTATTGTCCGAGTGCTCCAAATCCTTCGCGGGCCATCTGCATGTTGAGTGGCCTGGCCAGTCAACCGACCGTGCATGAATATGGGGTTCCCAGCATCCTCTCGGACCCTGCCGATGATCAACGGCTTTGGGAAGGCATTGCGATGGTTGCACCGTGCGATCTTCCAGCACTTGACGAACCGCGTTAATCTCACTGCTTCCTAGTAAGACACCACCATGCTTCATGACGTATCCGTCTGCCTTTGTTTCTGTACTCCTACACCGAACGTCAGAACTCAAGAAGAGAAACAGAGGGCCCCGTCGATGCTGCTAATACCCACCAGAGTCCACATTTTATAGGCTGACAGATATCTTTCAAATCACAAAGCACCTATTACCATCGGATATAATGAAGACGAGTCAGGAGCCGACCCGAATCATCCAACGACCCGATTGACTCGTGCACCAGCCAGACGGCCCCAAGTATCGCAATTCCGCGCTCGCACGCTACCAGGCCGTAGTGAAGTTGTGGCGCTGGTCTGAAGCGGAAAGGGGCGGCATACGCAAGCAAAGCGCGGAATAGCCGCACTCGTTCCTGGATGCTAACCTCGAAAGTCTCCTGCGCCTGCAGACATGCGAGCTAACGCTTTGGTGATGCACAATGGCACGGACATCTGCATCTTGTCTACAAAGGAAGGTGCAAGGGGAGGAAGTCGTGATCTGGAACACCCAACTCCGCCCGGCAACGTATGTCTCAAATGGTGCATATCGCGCGATCATGACAACCCAACGTCGCCGACTTGAGGGCGCTATAGGCAGTGCTCTGAATGGTCCTCCGAAGGTGCATGCAGCCGCGTGCATCAGCCCTGTACATTGTTCGGACCGAAACGAGCCAGGACCTTGCAACATCGAACGGCAAAAATTCGCCGTGCGTTTTCCGATCGTCAACCTGACAAGTACGCCCTTTGGATGTGTCTTCACATGCTATTGGAAAGAAAAAAGTAAAGACGATTCAAAATGAACATCTCATGCTCTGTCCAATCAACCAACGGCATTTTGAACAATGCCATCTTGCCGGAGTCAGCATGCTTCCCTAACACGACGGAGAAACGCAAAATTCGACAGCCCCCATTGTGATATTGCGAACGCGTATACTATGGAGAACTATGTCTCGGCGCCTGAGCTGTACCTTCTGCTTCTACGTGTGTCCCTTGACGGAAGCTACGAGGCAATTGAAGGTAAAATCTGGAAGCCTCTCTGCATGTACTTCGAGAGGTATAAGCATGTTTTTGCAGTACAATGTACGATACGGCTTTATCATGGAGCTTTGAATCTAAAACTCATGAAAAGTTCAAATGGCTGATACATAGCAAATATGGCAATGACCTAAGATTCTATACCAAGTACAACAATCTTTTCTCTGAATGTCATTGAAAATGAGCCCTTCAAAACCATTCCGTGGTACATGACGAAGCACTTACAAGAGAGAAAGTTCTCGGGGCGTCTGCAAAGAAGCGATATTGGTCTTGGATAAGATCCAGATCTTTGACAGTATCTAGAAGTTGCGGTTTCCCACTGTCACCGTGTTGATGAGATTAAAGTTGGATTCAAGCTCGACGACTTCGTTAGCGTCTTTGCATATTTCGACATCGAGGAATCACTCGATTGCAACATAAGATCATAGTATGCCATTTCATCAGCCGGGGAAAAGAACGACACAGTACAAGATCAGGTATGATACCACTATCTAGAGTGGACGAATCTGCGTTCCACGGACAAAACAAGGCCTTTGCGATAGTAGAGCTACTACCTGTTCGTCACCCTCACGAACACCTGGTCTTGGAGCGAATGTGCCGCTGGGGGCAACGGCACTTACCACACGCGAGGTGTGCCATTCGGTGCTTTCCAAGCATGTCTAGACACAATCCAGTCTTCTCCGTTTGCACAAGATGGCTGAACCCCTCCACCTCCAGAATCATACACACGATACCCACAAGCAAAGTCACACTACGGTTAAACCCAACGGTCGGGATCCCGGATCACGCACCGAACTAGCGGTTAGTGTAGCGCGGCGTGGGGTCCAAAAGCTGCGCCAGCACGCGCCTCTGAAGCTTTCCTGCTTGGAAGAAAATCCAGCTGAGCCGTGCGGCGTGCTAACCCCTGCTGGCGTGCCCTGGCCGCGAAGAATGCCGCAACGGGTATGATGCTGCGAGCCAGGTGCACATGTGGGTTTTGACGAGCAGGCTAGACTCGAGTGGATAATGCCTGCGCACTCGATGGGGAACTGCACTGGGTACAGGGGTAAGCGGAGCCCGCGTGTCGTGAGTTCCGATCCTGAAGCGCATGCTTGTTGCCGCCTTGGATCGTCTTTGTCGGGATGGACAGGACTGGGCTGGGACCGGAGTTAGGTTTGTGTGAGCGAGATTGAAGTGGTCGGGATTTTTCTCGGGCACAGGCGGAGGGAGCGTTGTCGGGTCGCTTGTCGCGTATCGCTTGGACTTGCTTGCGCAGGAGGAATTTAGCTTTGCTTTGTGCATGTGGGATACTTCTTACTGTGATTGCGTTGGTGCAGTGTGTGGATAGCAGAGACACACTTTGCTGTGTCCACTGTTCGGAGAACGGCGACTTGAGATACGGCGTAGTCAGGTAGTGGCTCTCGCATATTCGCATAACGTATATCTTCAACAACAGACGTACCTAGGTACCTCGCCGATACTCAGAGTTCGTCCAACATGACCATCTCCGACAACGAGTAGCCTTTTCGACGGCGGATCGGTCCCAAAATGGGAATCCGTCATCCAAGATCTACCACATCGACTCGAAAACACACTAGAACATCATGCACCTTCTTCGCTACACATGTAGTCTAACAAGGACCATAACTCTGTCGGACAGACAGCACCACTTGGGCATACCCAACTGCGACATCAACGCCAACACTATTCCCGGCGCCACACTATCAGGAACCACCTACCAGGCGGGCGTGCGATGAGC